ATTTTGCTATTCTTACTGGGGTGAGATGATATCTCATAGTTGTTTTAATTTGCATCTCTCTTAGAGCTAGGGATTTTGAACATTTCTTCATGTGCTTCTTGGCCATCTGAATGTCTTCTTCGAAGTGTCTGTTCATATCCTGTGCCCATTTTTCTATTGGATTATAGCACCACTTCTTATCCACCGGGCCACATGTATACACAGATCATAATCACTCTCTGCAGGATCTGAGTCCAGTCAACTGTCTAAATCCTTAGCTCACCCCTATCCTCAGCCCCCACAGTGCCCACTAGTGGCCCTCCCCCAACCAGACAGCGGAGTCCTCCTTCCACTCCTCTGCCCACCCCTCAATCCTTCCCTCCCTCACTCACCTCTGGGGCTTGTTCAGCCAGTTGGTGACGGGGAGGAGCTCCGTGTAGGGGGTCTTACATGGCACTTCACGGAGGATGTTGGCCACAGCTTTGGGGAGCTCAGCAGTCCCGTGCAGAGAGTACAGCCAGCCAGTCCCGTCTGGGAGGGGGATGAAGAGGGTCCCCTAAAGGGAGGAAGAAATATAATGAGAACGGGATGAAAACTGCCACGCCCGCTGCCCTCCCGTCAGCTCGGACTCCCAGAGATCCTGTTGGGCAGCGCAGATCGTGCTGCAGGGTCTCTGAGGTCGGGAATCTTTACACAAACAGATCGCCTGGTCTTTTTCCCACAGAGTGGCTGGTGGGTGGGAACCTTGATTTTCTTGGCTGGCAGCCTAACTAGCCCCTGTGCCTCCAGGTTCCATAAGAATGGCACGTCACTGCTGTTACTGTTAGGAGCTGTCGAGCCGAGTATGACCCTAAGGGGCACCCAATTCAGCCCATGGTCTTGTCAATCACTTGCTACGCATCTGAGGAGAGCTTCAAGAAGGGCACAGAAATGGTGGTACATGCACGCAATGGACTGGTACGCAGCACTGAAGAACAATGAACTCGTAGAACACCACACAACATGGGGCGGGGGCTAGAAGACATTATGCTGAGTGAAGTATCTCCATAACAAAAGGACAAATACTGCGCAACACTGCTGTTATGAAATAAGAACGACAGAGAGGGGGTTGGGGGAGGACAGGAAAAAAATGAATAGATAACAAACACTGCATTGAAACAGATGAGGGAAAGAACTGTCTGAAAGGAACGTATAGTCATTTCTTAATTCCCATTTGACAGTTCACACACATTCACAACACCGACTCCACTCCCTCAGGTGACAGCCCCTGCCCTGCTCCTGTGTTTCCTGGGTCCACTCATCCTCATCCACTGTCATCCAGTGACAGATATTGTATGTACGACGCCAATCTGGAACAAGCCGTACATCGCACAGTGGAATCGGGGGGCAGGAGAGGGAAATGTGCAACAGTGAATAATGGAAAAAGAAAGGCCTAGAAAGTCCTTTATCAGGTTCTGATTAGTGCAGGCTCTGCAAACAGAGCCCTTTCAGAAAGCGGCTTGGCAAAGTATGGTCAAGGGCCACAAAGTTGTTTATATCTATTTGGACCAGGAATTCCACTCCAGGAAACTTAATGAAGAGAAAGTCCTCCAAAAGAAAAGAATACGTGCATGAACGTATTTACTGTGGAACCACTTATAATACTAATGAAAATCTAAAGGTAAATGAATCATTCAACAGCATGAGAATGTCAGATACATTGTGGTACACACAGGCCATGAAATATTAAGCAGTCACTAAAAATGGTCACTACGTTTCATTGTGGGGATGCAGTCAGCGTCTTGAAACAGAAGGACTATGAGTTGTTGAAAAGAAAAGCAATTTGCTCTGTAAATGTTCACTCAAATTACAATATTAAGTTAAAAAAATGTTATCCTTTCAACTAAGAAAACAGTTTCAGGAATATCATGTGTTTCAGGGGGAAAATACTCATGAAAGAATATAAAGTCAAAGTTAAAAACCCCTGACTGCACGCTCCGTTTGGCAGCACATGTACTAAAACTGCAGCGATACAAAGAAGACCAGCATGGCCCTTGCGCAAGGATGACACCCAAATTTGTGAAGCGTTATTTTTTTCTAGTTAAAAAACAAAACCAAAACAAACCACCCTTTAATGCATAAGTGGATCTGCTCTGACAACAACAGCTCCGACTGTGTGTAAAAAGCGAAAAAGCTTGGCTGACTGCTCTGTGGGCTTCATTTCTACACTCTGGATTGGTGTTAGGTGTTGAGCTCACTTCAGAGCCCACAACCCCACGCACACGTGGAAAGCCTGTCCCTCCCGCACCATGCTCACGCCCGCTCCTGCGGGTGTCAATCCATCTCCTTCAGGACCTTCCTCTCTTTTGCCGATGGAAAAGCTGGAGCCCGCCAGCTGCTCCTCAGAAGAAAGAGACAATCTCCTTCTCTACAAATCGACAGTGTAGGGTACACGCTGGAGGGTAACCACGGCCTGGAGCTGACCTGACCTCAGCGGGGTGGCTCCTGGGGCAGAGCCCCGACCTTGGGAGGTCCCCTGCTTGGGAAGCAGGAGGACGGGAGTGGAAGCTGTGCACTCGCCCTACCTGGTGCTTGCGGTTTTCCACGTTCATGGTGCGGGGTCTGTAGGTGATCTCATAGGGCTTGTTCTGCTGATGGGCCTCCAGGGTGATGAACTCGGGCCCCTCCCAGTGCTCGCCCTCGAAGATGGGGTGCAGGTTCCAGGTCTGGTTGGTGCGGTTGGAAAGCAGGATGGTCTGTGTGTGCTTGGAGCGCACCTGGCAGGTGAAGTTCACCACCTGGAAGACAGTGGGCATCTCACCTTCCACAACACTGCTCCCTGGTCTCCCTCCAGGGCCAGAGATGAGGGCGCTGATGTCAGTCGTGCTTCCCACCGCAAGCGTCCCCTTGTAATTTTCATTTTCTTTCAACATTTCAACTGGTTCGACAAACATCTATTGGACATTTTCTATGTGCATGGTTCTCAGAGGTAGATAGACAGCAGTGACAGAATAAAAATCCCAACCCACAAAGAGCTTACATTCTAGTCGGGGAAGACAGATAGTAGACAAGATAGAAGTATGCTGAATATATCGGATGGGAGTAAAAGCTGCAGAAAAATCAAGTCAGGCAGGGCTCTAGAGAATGACAATTGGGGAAAGGGTGAAGAGTGCAATTTAAAATAGAGTGATCCTGCATGGAAAACAATGTATTTGATTAAAGGACAAGCAGAATGAGATACCTGGGCAAACATTTCCAAGAGGAGGAAACAGCCATTGCAAAGATCTGGAGTTCCGACAAATGTCAAGGAACCAGCGTGGCAGCCGTGAAATGGCTAAGGAAGCGAAGCCTCTGGGAAGGAATGAGAGCATTTAACATCCTGAAGGTCAGGCCCAACAAGTTTGTTTCTCCTCCGGTTTGAAGGAGGATGCATGAGAGTTTCAGTAGAGGAGGTAGGGACTTGGTCTGAGTGCTGTGTTGGGCACGGTTGGCATTCAGGTCGGAGTGAGGAGACACTCATCGTAGACTGAGTCAGAGACTGAATGGACTGGCATGGACTGGTCTGGACTGGAAATGAGCAGCAGTGCAGGGGAAGGCATGGGGGAAGTGAAGAGACTCTAGTTGTATTTTGAAAAGCAAGTAGGATTTACTGATTCTTGAGCGACTCTTGAGTGTAAGGGAGAGAAGATTTGAAGGTGATGCTGACATGTTTAGCTTGAAGACCAAGGATGGGATTGACACTTAACGAGGTGGGGTTGATTACAGAAGGGATGGATTTGGGGAGGCCCCGGAGCTCAGGGATAGGCCAGTTAAGAGCTGCTAAGCAGAGATGCCGATTGGACAGCGGTGCGTGTAAATCTGAAGTTCCAGAGGACGAAAGTGTAGGGAGCGCCGGGCTGCAGGGAGCAGCGCTGCCAACCCAAAGGCCGTACCTCTGTGCTGGTTCAAGTCTACCAGCAGTTTCCTCCTACGTGATTTACAGTCTCAGAAACCCAGTGCAAGGCCAGCCATGAGTTGGTCCTGCCTTGACGGCAATAAGAAAGGTGTAAGGTCCAACCTGAACATACAGTCTTGGGAGTTGTCAAGCTAGCTAAAAAACACAAAACTATTCATCAGGAAGTGAGTAGTGTTTTTTAATTCAAAGGGAAGTAATCTAAGGGCTAATTCTTGTCTTGGGTACTCCAATGTTGAGAACAATCAGATGGAGAGGAGAAAGGGCATCTAGTGAAGTGGGAGGAAAGCACGAGAAGGTGGTTTACTTGGAAGCCAAATGAAGCAGGAACTTCAAGCAGGAGAAATGGATTCATAGTGTCACAGCTACCAACAGTTAAAGTAGGACTGGGAGTGAGAACTGACCACCAGAGCTAGCAACAGAGACAGTACGATATTGGTGTAGAAAGACAGACAGACAAAGATGACACTCCAGCTGTGAGCTGAAGAATGATGAGGGATCAAGTAAATGAAGAAGAATGTTCTGGAATTGGGAAGAGCATGTTCAAAGGCCCCATGGTGGGAGGGAACAGTCTTAGATGTTTTGACACAGCGACTTGGCTGTAGGAAGCCCAGCTGAGCTATGGGGATGAGACTTCCTGGGTTCATCCTGGCTACTGGCCTGCCCCTGGACAGCACTGACCTCTTTGACTGCAGGGGGTCCCACGCAGACTCCAGACAGGGTGAGGGTCAGAGGACTGCCTCCCTGGATGACGCAGAGCATGTTGTTAGAGACGCTCTCCTTTCCCACCTTCGTGGGGCTGTAGGTCACTTCAAATGAAACCTCCATGCCCGCGGTGATGTAGCCTTCTTCTGGGCTGATGGAAAAATGAGGCCCAAACTTTCCGACATCCCATTTAAACCTTTCCAAGACAAAAGAGGACAAGGCACGTGATTATCACCATCCCGAGAGTGCCCTCAAACCTAATGAGAGTGAGAGACTTTGCCAGAAGAAAACCTACAGACTCGGGGAGGTGGGGGGAATAACAACATAAGGTGATGTTACGTGAGACAAGGGTACCACAATGAAAGTTTACAGAATACTCCTGGGCCTGCACAAGGAAAAGACTGACAGCCCAAACACAAGATGGGCATGGAGAGACTTTTCACAGTGGAAGACATTCCCGTGGACAACAGACACATGAAAAAATGCTCAAAATCACTGGTGCTAAGAGAGATGCAAATCAAAACCACATTGAGATACCATCTCACTCCAGTCACAGTGGCAGCAAGTAATGAATGTTGGAGAGGATGTGCGGAGCCCAGACCGCTCACACACTGCTGATGGGACTGTAAAAAGGCACCACCACTCTGGAAGGCAGTTCGGGGTTTCCACATAAAGCTGAACACAGGAATCCCATATGCAATTCCACTGCTAGGAATATACCCCAAAAGGAAACAGAACGGAGACACAAACAGAGATTTTTACAGCGATGTTCACAGCAGTGTTAATTCAAAATAGCAAGAAAATGGGAACAGCCCAGATGACCACCGAGGAATGAATGTATTGAGACATGATGGTGCGTTCATACAACACGCAGCACTAACGAGCAACGAGTCCATAAACTGCTCTAGATCGTGGGAGAGTCTGGAGAGCACTATGCTGACTGCAGTAACTCAGTCTCATTAGGACAAATACTGCCCAAGACCATTACTGCAAAAACAGAAGCGTAACTAGTTCAATGTGTGTTGAAGTCTAAGAGGGGGTGGGGAGAGGAGGGAATTACTGGGACGGGGAGGGAGGGTGTGGAGGACTCAGGAAAGATCCAGTCCAGGGACCTGAAAGGATGGGGTCAAAGCAGGCCGAGATCAATGGTGACTGATTTTATAAAACACAATATATACGAATGGTATGAAACAGTATGAAGGAAGGACTGTGTCAACACAATGTGCATGACGACCATCACTTCACCTGCTCAGACAAAGTGCTTGTTAAATGTATCATTTTGGAATTCTTCCTTCTCTGCTCCTTGGTCTCTTGCATTAAATACGGGTCTTATTCAGTATCAACTTCAGAATTATTGTTGAGATTAAGTGAGTGAGTCATGTTAAGGTCTTATTAGGACATATAATATCCCAACTTTGTTGGTGTGAAGTTGGGTCTTATCCATAACAGACAGGCTTTTCCGAGGCTGCAAATCTTTATGGAAGGAGACTGCTCCCCTTATCGCCTCAGAGAAGCTCGTGGATTCAAACCTCCAACCTTTTGATCTACAGCCAAATACTCAACACACTATGCCATGGGGGCTTCTGGCATATAATAGGTCCTAAGCAAATGCTTAATTATACATTGCTTCACATGCACGTGAAAGCTGGACAATGAATAAGGAAGACTAGAGAACTGATGTTTTTTAACTGCAGTGTCGATGAAGAGTATGAAATATGCCACAGGCTCCAGGGGAACTCCAGTGGGCTTAACCACAGCGGAGACCGCGAGCGCAGAGCAGGGCTCTTGCCTGTGGTTCACAGGACTGCCAGGCACCGGAGCTGACTCGAAGGCACCTAACAAGAAGCAAATGCTCTCTATCACATTCACGTAGTTAAAACTGTTAATTGTGACTTGAGTGGAAATTTACAAAGCAAATTGGGTTTTCGTACCCATTTTGCCACGACATTAGTCACAACGACCACTACATAATCGTCCTGTTCTTACTCCCCCTGTGATATCCTTATTTCTTTCAGTATCTGCTCATCTTGTCTGTTGGTCCACAGATCGGTCTTTCTCAGGAACTGTGTGCCTCTTCCTTATTTTTAGTGATCATATGCAGATCACCTCCCAACTGTATGTTTTCTTTCCCTTTGTCCATCTTAACATTTAACCGTTATTCGTTTTACTAATTTCCATCCCCTTTACCCTCCCTTTCCTACTTGGTAACTACCTGAGAATGACTCTATCTGTGTGTAAAACTTTCTTTAGGTTTTTATGACAGTGGCCGTTACAGTATTTGCCCTTTTGTGAAGGATTATTGCTCTCAGCATAATATTCTCTGGACACATCCATGTTACGCGTGTTTCTTGAATTCCTTATTGTTCTTCAGTGTTGAATAGTACTCCACACCATTGTTTCTTTAACCATTCATCTGTTGATGGACACAGGGGCTGTCTCCATCTCTTTGCTATTAAAAGAAATGCTGCAATAAACATGGGTGTACTTGCATCTGTTCATGTCACAGGTCTTAGTTCGTTAGTATCTAAGCCTCCAGCGATCTTTCACATTAGTTTTAGTGACCATGACAACCACCTTCGTGAGGCCACCACTGTCACCTTGGAGGGATATGGCTGTAAAGATGGAAGGAGGAGAGAGAAAGAAAGAATAAAAAGGGGTGCATCTGCAAAACAAGGGTCTAGTCAGGGAGACATCCAGGGACAGAGAGTTCTGTTCCAGCCTAGAGTTGGGGCAGCACGCTCCTACCTGGTACCTATGTCACCCGTGTTCAGCATAAGGACGCGACGAGTGGCCTGTGTCTGACACACAACGGGCCCAAAGGGGACGTAGTCCTGGTCCAGGGAGATCTCCAGGGCCTGGCAGCAGCCTCTGAGGAGGAAGAGAGGCCGCAGCAGCCCCATGCACTCCATGAGCACCTCCTCGGAGAAAGAAGGGACACGCTTCTTCGGGGCGAAGACCACCTCCACCTTAATGACTTCTTTGGGCTTCAGACTGATGTTGTTGAAGGGGGTCAAGGTGATCACCTGGGGGGAAGGACAGACAAGGAGAACCAGAAGATGAGGGAAAGGGGCTGCCACAGACAGGGGCTCCATTCCACACCTGCGTTCTTACTGGGGTGTGATGGAGGGATGACCTAGGCTTTCCCAGCCTCAGTAACCTCACTGGTACACCCAGCACCACTGACCATAGTACCACTACGGTGACGGTTAAAGTCATCTATAGAAAATATGTGGATGTTAACAGACACTTGACAAATACAAACTGTCCTTGTTAATATTTTTCTAGTCCTTTTGGGGCAGCTAGATGTCTCTTTTAGGGAGCTCTGGTGGCCTCTTGGGTAAGGAGTTGTACTGTCAATGCAAAGGCAGATGGTTCAAATCCACCAGCTGCTCCATGGAAGAAAATGGGCAATCTCCTCCTGTGCGGTTTATAGTCTCTGAACACCCGACAAAGGGTCAGCTACGGGTTGGTTCTAACTAGACAATGAGTTGTTTTATTATTGAGATATCTTCTTATATTCCTCACAGAACTTTTCATTCTTCCTTTCAGCTCCTTTGAGAAAAAAATAACTAGGAATACAAGACAGTTAGTGCTCCAACATTTCTTAAGGTTAGCCCCCCAGTGCCTGGGGTAACGGTGCCAGGACAGGTCACTGTGGCAAGCTTTAATCTGACCACCAAACAGCAGTGGCACTGGTAAGGTCCATTCGGTAGGGTCCCCAGCGGGATTCGGCTCAGAACTTTTATTTGAACTAATGAGCAAAAGGAAGCAACAAGCTGGCTTGCCTGCTCTGGACAGCCAAGGGACAGGTGAAGTACTCTCTGAGGTGACCTCTCAAAGCCAATTCTCTGTACTGCAAAGTCGTCAGATGGTCCACAGTGCTCCTCCTGCTATTCTGAACCCCAGTTTTCCACTAGCACTGGACCCTCACAAGCCTACACATCTTTGCCTTGCAGGGACGTCCTTCCCTAACCTGTCTGCCTGGGATCCACACCTGAACGTAAATGCCAATGCTCTCCTTTATCTTGACATTCTCAGCACCGTGAATAAATCAGAGTGAACTGAGTGAATGAATGAGTGTAACCTCTTTCCTTATGACATAAGCTAAGGCAGCCTTCACTTTGTTGTGGTTATTATGTGCCATTGAGTCAGAAATGACAGCTGACCCTTCAGCGGGTTTTCAGAGACTGAACAGCATGGGGGTAGACTGCCCATCCTTCTCCCACAGAGCAGCTGGTGAATCTGGACCGCCTGCCTTTGGGTTTTACGCACCAGACCACCAGAACTTCCTAACAATGCAGAACTCTATAACAACAATACAGATATAATTTCACTTTCATGTATTAGAAAATGCATATGAAAAGTACTGGTAAACTAGGCCCAATGTTACAGTGGTTATTCTGGTTATGGAATGAAGGGAAAATTCCAATTCTTTTCCGTTTTCTGTACTTTTCAGATGTCCACAGTGAGAATATATAATCAGTGCATTCCAGAGCTGCTGAATCCCCTCTAGTTCCATCTCTTGCTCCATCCTTTTCCAGACCTTTCAGAAGTGGCCGATCTCTCTGGGCCTCATTTTCTTTATGTGTAAATGGGGAACTACGATGTTTGGGACAGTTAGCAGAGGCGGCTTCGCATAGAGCCCTTAGAATGGTCTAGAGCGCTGTGAGTGTGAGCTCAGCCCCATCATCACATCGGGCACTGACCTGGGGATCCTGGAGTTCTGGGATCGAGAACATGGCCAACTGGTTAAATGTGAGCGGGACAAGGCTGCAGTTCATGATGGAAACTGTCCTCTTGCTGACCTGTCCCGGCAGAAGGGCTCCCAACTTGACAACCCTGTTGGCAGGGTCTAGGACGGAGACCTGTGGGACAAGAGAAGGAGCAGGTCAAAGGCGCCCGTCCGCTCACAGGAAAGACCAACTCCTAGCGGCCCGCCTTTCCCCTCACTGCAGCCGTGCTGGCTCGTGGCTGCCGTGTGTGTGTGTGTGTGTGTGTGTGTGTGTGTTAAAGAAATGTGTCCCATGGGGTTTTCAAAGGTTGATTTTCCACAAATCAGATGAAAAAGGCCTGGCTCTCTTTTTCTATGTGGAGTCAGAATTCACTTACTCAAGAAATATTTTGGGGCATGAAATGTCCACTAGACAACTTGTCACACCACTAAATAATTACGGTTGGGTTAAAAGAGAGGGAAGAAAGTCCCAGGGTACTGTGACAGCATGCTGCAGAGGGTTGAAGTCGGGGAGTGTGAGGATCCGTGTTTACACGATTGACAAAGGATCTGGTCAGTTTAAGAGTCAGGGTGGCCGTGAGGTAGGGAAGTAGCCCATGGTAAGGCCCTGGGCTGGAGGGAGCGGCCCAAAAGGAAGCCAAGGGGAGAGCAGAGAAGGTGCATTTGGAGAGGTGAGGGTGCAGGAGTCAGGGGGAGAAGGTGCATTTGGAGAGGTGGGAGATGGCCAGTCTCAGGAGGACTTTCGGGTCAGTGCAGGTGGGGTCCATTGGGCTTTACTTGGGAAGAAATGAGAAGCCGGAGAAGCCTGAGTGGCCCAGTCAAACATGAATGTTGTGGGAGAGCTTGGGCTTGCTGCTCTGGGGGAATGGACAGGAAGGGGCGAGAAAGCCGTGAGGAGGACAGAGGTCTGGACTGGAACAGTGACAGCAGCGATCCGAGAAATCATCCCACTCTGGCCTTACCTAAGCACTGATCTTCTTGGTGGCCAGGACTAGACCAAGCTCAAGCTGTATGTACCTTGCCCTCAGGGTGGCACAAACCTCAGCGAGAGGCTCCTGCACACCGCTGGACGGCACTCTCCCCTCCACCCATCTCTGGACCAGCTCAGATAGATGCTTCCATTGGTCTAAACACACACACACACACACACACACACACAAAATCAAGCGTGTTTTCCCACCAGCCTGTGAGCTGGTGAGTATGTATTTAAATCACTGATGGATCCCTTCAAAGTACTCGACACTCAGTGCGTACTGACTGAATGAATAAATGGAGAGTGAACGCCATCAGGAAAACGTCTCTCACTGGCTCGAGTCTAGATACCCTGGCTTGACGGGAAGGTGGCAGGGAATACCTTACAAAACCCCTCACTAAAATGTAGCTCCCTCAAACCTTAAAATGAAAATACCCCCACCAGATGTGTGACACCTTGAACATTTACTAGACTCTGTGAACAGAGATTCGCAGCAGGAGGCGGGCGTGAGGGTTCTGGTAGCACTCTGAGCGGGCCCTGATCAGAGTGACCTCACCAAATCCAGTCCTAGCGTTTGTTGCTGCCTGAGAATGCTACTCAGCGAGGTCCAGGGAGAAGACGGTCTATAACCAAAAGGCGTATCTCTGCGAACAAAAGGTGTCCTCATGCCAAGAATAAAGGATGCTCTTGGGATGCTACAGCGGTGGCTTCAGGGTTCTCCAAGAAAAGGGGTGATTACTTGCATCTCAAATTCTTAGGGAAGTCTGCCATTTGATAAGGTCTTGGCTTCGCTCCAGTCTGATTTTACACTGAACCCCTTTGTCTTTTCACGGATACTGTCATCTCAGTGGGACCTGCTGGCCTCCTGCAGAGCAGGCTGAAGTGGGGTGCAGAGGGGAGAAGGGTGTGTGGGCTCAGTGGGCTGAGGTGGCTGCAATGGCAGGAAGGTGCATGCCAACCCCGAGGATACCCGGATGGTCCTTACCTTCATCTCGGTGCCTTTCCCTTTAATTTCAACGTTTAGCTGTGAATGTCCGTTGATTTCAAAGGGGATGAGTTCTCGGTAGCAGATGCTTTCTCGAGGATAGAAGATGATTGGGACCATCAGAGTACTTCCTGGCTTTATCATGTCCACTTGGAAGTTGAGCTCAAGATGGGGGGTGTTGTTGTACAAACAGTCTATGCTGGGGAAGCCAAGATGGGGGGCATGAATTTAGAGGAAGCTGACCCAAGAAGAACAGATTCCTTCTGCATCTTCTCCGCAGGACTCGGTAATGTTGGCTGCCCTGCCTCATCTGTCGGGTGCCCAGGGACTCAGCAATGACCCACGCTCTCCTGACCACAGGTAATAGTCAAGTGATTGCACGTCACACCCCGAAGTCCCGGCACAGTGAGCCGTCAGGGGAAAGTCTCACCATCCTTTTCCCCACACTCTTATCAGTCCACTGATTCTCCTTTCTGGATGATGCAGCTTGTGCGTGTGCACCTGCTCAGAAGGCAGTGCCCCCAGAAGTAGTTGGGGAGCAAAGCAAGGTGGAGAGGAGTGATGTTGTGGGGTCTGCCGGAGTGGGACCCAGGCAGGAGTGGGACCCAGGCTGGAGTGGGACCCAGGCAGGAGTGGGACCCAGGCAGGAGTGGGACCCAGGCAGGAGTGGGATCCAGGGAGGAGTGGGATCCAGGGAGGAGTGGGACCCAGGCAGGAGTGGGACCCAGGGAGGAGTGGGACCCAGGGAGGAGTGGGATCCAGGGAGGAGTGGGA